AGTTTCTCCCCATGCTATCTCTACCCAACTCCCCACCCGTCGCTGTCCCTCCCCTAATTCCCCCTGACAGACCCCAGTGCGTGATGCTCCCCTCCCTCTGTCTATGTGTTATCATTTTTCAACACCCACCTGTGAGTGAGAACATGCGGTGATTGATTTTCTGTTCTTGTGTCAGTTTGCTGAGAATGATGGTTTCCAGATTCATCCATGCCCCTACAAAGGACACGAACTCATCATTTTTTATGGCTGCATAATATTCCATGGTGTATATGTGCCACATTTTCCCTGTCCACTCTATCATTGATGGGCATTTGGGCTGGTTCCAGGTCTTTGCTATTGTAAACTGTGCTGCAATGAACATTCGTGTGCATGTGTCCTTATAGTAGAACGATTTATAATCCTTTGGATATATACCCAGTAATGGGATTGCTGGGTCAAATGGAATTTCTATTTCTAGGTCCTTGAGGAACTGCCACACTGTCTTCCACAACGGTTGAACTAATTTACACTCCCACCAACAGTGCAAAAGTGTTCCTATTTCTCCGCCTCCTCTCCAGCATCTGTTGTCCCCAGATTTTTTAATGATCGCCATTCTAACTGGCGTGAGATGGTATCTCAATGTAGTTTTGATTTGGATTTCTCTGATGACCAGTGATGATGAGCATTTTTTCATATGTTTGTTGGCCTCATGTATGTTTTCTTTTGTAAAGTATCTGTTCATATCCTTTGCCCACTTTTGAATGGGCTTGTTAGTTTTTTTCTTGTAAATCTGTTTTAGTTCTTTGTAAATTCTGGATATCATCCCTTTGTCCAATGGGTAAACTGCAAAAATTTTTTCCCATACTGTTGGTTGCCAATTCATTCTAATGACTGTTTCTTTTGCTGTGCAGAAGCTATGGAGTTTGATTAGGTCCCGTTGTCTATTTTTGCTTTTGTTGTCAATGCTTTTGATGTTTTGGTCATGAAGTCCTTGCCTATACCTATGTCCTGAATGGTTTTGCCTAGATTTTCTTTTAGGGTTTTTGTGGTGCTAGGTCTTATGTTTAAGTCTTTAATCCATCTGGAGTTAATTTTAGTGTAAGGTGTCAGGAAGGGGTCCAGTTTCTGCTTTCTGCACATGGCTAGCCAGTTTTCCCAACACCATTTATTAAACAGGGAATCCTTTCCCCATGGCTTGTTTTTGTCTGGTTTGTCAAAGATTGGATGGTTGTAGATATGTTGCGTTGCGTCTGAGACCTCTGTTCTGTTCCATTGGTCTATATCTCTGTTTTGGTACCAGTACCATGCTGTTTTGATTACTGTAGCCTTGTAGTATAGTTTGTAGTCCGGTAGTGTGATGCCTCCCGCTTTGTTCTTTTTGCTTAGAATTGACTTCGCTATGTGGGCTCTCTTTTGGTTCCATATGAAGTTTAAGGTGGTTTTTTCCAGTTCTGTGAAGAAGGTCATTGGTAGCTTGAGGAGGATAGCGTTGAATCTGTAAATTACTTTGGGCAGTATGGCCATTTTCACGATATTGATTCTTCCTAACCATGAACATGGGATGTTTCTCCATCTGTTTGTGTCCTCTCTTATTTCGTTGAGCAGTGGCTTGTAGTTCTCCTTGAAGAGGTCCTTTATGTTCCTTGTTAGTTGTATTCCTAGGTATTTTATTCTCTTTGTGGCAATTGTGAATGGAAGTGTGTTCTTGATTTGGCTCTCTTTAAGTCTGTTATTGGTGTATAGGAATGCATGTGATTTTTGCACATTGATTTTGTATCCTGAGACTTTGCTGAAGTTGCTTATCAGTTTCAGGAGATTTGGGGCTGAGATGATGGGGTCTTCTAGATATACAATCATGTCTTCTGCAAATAGAGACAATTTTACTTCTTCCTTTCCTATTTGAATACCCTTTATTTCTTTCTCTTGCCTGATTGCTCTGGCTAGAACTTCTAATACTATATTGAATAGGAGTGGTGAGAGAGGGCATCCTTGTCTAGTGCCACATTTCAAGGGGAATGCTTCCAGTTTTTGCCCATTAAGTATGTTATTGGCTGTTGGTCTGTCATAAATAGCTTTTATTATTTTGATGTATGTTCTGTCAATACCTAGCTTATTGAGGGTTTTTAGCATAAAGATCTGTTGAATTTTGTCAAAGGCTCTCTCTGCATCAATTGAGATAATCATGTGGTTTTTGTCTTCGGCTCTGTTTATGTGGTGAATTACGTTTATAGACTTGCATATATTGATCCAGCCTTGCATCTCCGGGATGAAGCCTACTTGATCATGGTGGATAAGCTTTTTGATGTGCTGTTGCAATCGGCTTGTCAGTATTTTATTGAAGATTTTTGCATCTATGTTCATCATGGATATTGGCCTGAAGTTTTCTTTTCTTGTTGAGTCTCTGCTGGGTTTTGGAATCAGTATGATGTTGGTCTCATAAAATGATTTGGGAAGAATTCCCTCTTTTTGTATTGTTTGGAATAGTGTCAGAAGAAATGGTACCAGCTCCTCTTTGTATGTCTGGTAGAATTCAGCTGTGAACCCGTCTGGACCTGGGCTTTTTTTGGGTGGTAAGCTCTTAATTGCTGCCTCAACTTCAGACCTTGTTATGGGTCTGTTCAGGGTTTCGGCTTCTTCCTGGTTTAGGCTTGGCAGGAGGCAAGTGTCCAGGAATTTATCCATTTCTTCCAGGTTTATTAGTTTGTGTGCATAGAGTTGTTTGTAATAATCTCTGATGATGGTTTGAATTTCTGTGGAATCTGTGGTGATATCCCCTTTATCGTTTTTTATGGCATCAATTTGGTTATTCTCTCTTTTCTTTTTTATTAATCTGGCTAGTGGTCTGTCTATTTTGTTGATCTTTTCAAAAAACCAGCTCCTGGATTTATTGATTTTTTGAAGGGTTTTTTGTGTCTCTATCTCCTTCAGTTCTGCTCTGATCTTAGCTATTTCTTGTCTTCTGCTAGACTTTGAGTTTTTTTGATCTTTCTCCTCTAGCTCTTTCAGTTTTGATGATAGGGTGTCAATTTTTGATCTCTCCTTGCTTCTCATGTGGGCACTTATTGCTATATATTTTCCTCTAGAGACTGCTTTAAATGTGTCCCAGAGATTCTGGTAAGTTGTATCTTCATTCTTGTTGGTTTCGAAGAACATCTTTATTTCTGTCTTGATTTCATTGTTTATCCAGTCAACATTCAAGAGCAAGTTGTTCAGCTTCCATGAAGCTGTGCGGTTCTGGGTTAGTTTTTGAATTCTGAGTTCTAACTTGATTGCACTGTGGTCTGAGAGACCGTTTGTTATGATTTCTGTTCTTTTGCCTTTGCTGAAGAGTGATTTACTCCCAATTATGTGGTCAATTTTAGAGTAGGTGTGATGTGGTGCTGAGAAGAATGTATATTCTGTGGATTTTGGGGTGGAGAGTTCTGTAATTGTCTATTAGGTTTGCTTGGTCCAGGTCTGAGTTAAAGTCCTGGATATCCTTGTTAATTTTCTGTGTGCTTGATCTGTCTAATATTGACAATGGGTTGTTAAAGTCTCCCACTGTAATTGTGTGGGAGTCTAAGTCTCTTTGTAAGTCATTAAGAACTTGCCTTATGTATCTGGGTGCTCCTGTATTGGGTGCGTATATATTTAGGATTGTTAGCTCTTCTTGTTGCATTGATCCTTTTACCATTATGTAATGTCCTTCTTTGTCTCTTTTCATCTTTGTTGGTTTAAATTCTACTTTATCAGAGATGAGAATTGCAACATCTGCTTTTTTTTTGCTCTCCATTTGCTTGGTAAATCTTCCTCCATCCCTTTATTTTGAGCCTTTTTGTATTCTTGCATTTGAGATGGGTTTCCTGGATACAGCACACTGATTGGTTTTGGCCTTTTATCCAATTTGCCAGTCTATGTCTTTTGATTGGGTCATTTAGTCCATTTACATTTAGGGTTAATATTCTTATGTGTGAATTCAATACTGCCATTTTGGTGCTAGCTGGCTGTTTTGCCCATTAGTTGATGCAGATTCTTCATTGTGTTGATGCTCTTTACCATTTGGTATGTTTTTGGCGTGGCTGGCACTGTTTGTTCCTTTCTATGTTTAGTGCCTCTTTCAGGAGCTCTTTTAAAGCAGGCCTGGTGGTGATGAAATATCTGAGTACTTGCTTGTTTGCAAAGGATTTTATTTTTCCTTCACTTATGAAGCTTAGTTTGGCTGGATATGAAATTCTGTGTTGAAAGTTCTTTTCTTTAAGGATGTTGAATATTGGCCCCCACTCTCTTCTGGTTTATAGGGTTTCTGCTGAGAGATCTGCTGTGAGTCTGATGGTCTTCCCTTTGTGGGTAACCCGACCTTTCTCTCTGGCTGCCCTTAGTATTTTCTCCTTCATTTCAACCCTGGTGAATCTGACGATTATGTGCCTTGGGGTTGCTCTTCTTGACGAATATCTTTGTGGTGTTCTCTGTATTTCCTGGACTTGAATATTGGCCTGCGTTGCTAGGTTGGGGCAGTTTTCCTGGATAATATCCTGAAGAGTATTTTCCAGCTTGGATTCATTCTCTGTGTCACATTCAGGTACACCTATCAAACATAGATTAGGTCTTTTCATATAGTCCCATATTTCTTGGAGACTTTGTTCATTCCTTTTCACCATTTTTCTCTAATCTTGCCTTCTTGTTTTATTTCACTGAGTTGATATTCGACCTCTGATATCCTTTATTCTGCTTGTTCAATTCGGCTGTTGAAACTTGTGTATGCTTTGCAACGTTCTCCTGTTGTGTTTTTCAGCTCCATCAATTTACTTATATTCCTCTGTAGGTTGTTTATTCTCGTTAGCATTTCATCAAATCTTTTTTCAAGATTCTTAGTTTCTTTGCTTTGGGTTAGAATATGTTCTTTTAGCTCACAGAAGTTTCTTATTACCCACCTTCTGAAGCCTGTTTCTGTCAGTTCAACACACTCATTCTCCATCCACCCTTGTTCCCTTGCTGGGCAGATGTTTTTATCCTTTGGAAGAGGAGAGGTATTCTGGTTTCAGGTGTTTTCTTCCCATCTTTGTGGTTTATCCACCTGTCATCTTTGTAGTTGTTGACATTCAGATTGGGTCTCTTAGTAGATGTCCAGGTTGTTGATGATTAAGTTATTTCTTTCTGTTTCTTAGTTTTCCTTCTAACCATCTGGCCCCTCTGCTATAGGACTGCTGAGGTCCACTCCAGGCCCTGCTTGCCTGGGGATCACCTGCAGTGGCTGCAGAACAGTAAAGGTTGCTGCCACTTTCTTCTTCTGCTATCTTTGTCCCACAAGGGTACCTGCCAGATGTCAGTCTGAGCTCTCCTTTATGAGGTGACTCTTTGGATATATGGGGTTCAGGGAACTGCTTGAGGAGACATTCTGTCCTTTATAGAAGCTCAAGTGCTGAGCTGTGAGCTCTGTTGTTCATTCAGAGCTGCTGGGTACATACATTTAAGTTTGTTGCAGCAAAACTCATAAACCCTTTTTTTTTTCCCCAGGTGCTCTGTCCTGGGGAGTTAGGGCTTTATTTATGAGTTTCTGTTGTGCTGCTGCCTTTTTTCAGGGCTGCCCTGCCCAGCAAGGAGGCAGCCTAGTCACTGTCTGCCTGCAGAGGCTTTGCTGGGCTGCTGTGGGCTCCACCCAGCTGCTGTGTTAACTTCCCTGCAATGCTGTTTATACGGGTGTAGTTAGAACTGCTTCAGCAATGGTGGCCCATCTCTATCATGGTGGACTCTCTCTGTAATAGCAGGCTGTCTCGGCAATGGTGGGCTGCATCAGCAATGGCAAACTACCTCTGTAGTGGTGGACTGCCTCAGTAATGGTGGACGCCCCTCCCCCACAGAGCTGGACCATCCTGGGTTGAGCTGTCCTTGCTGTGAAACTCTCAATCCCGAGCGTTTCCGATTGCTGTTTTTTGGTGGGGGTGGGCCCAGCCAAGCCTGATCACCTGGCTCCCTGCCTCATAGACCTTTTTTTTTTTTCTTTTTAAGTTCAACGGTCAACTCTGTCTCCCAGGTGTTCCAGTCACCTGTTGAAAAGGTGCCAGGATCTGTCTGATTTCCCATGTGGCGCCCACTGTGCTGGCTGAAACAACTGTGCTGAGATTCGTGGTGCTTTTTTGCCTGGAAATCTCCTGGCCTGGTTTCCTGTTTCAGTCCCCTTTTTAATCAGTTGAATGGGCAACTCCCTCTGCCAGGAGCTCCAATTGCCAGCCAAAATGGTGCCCAGACCCGTGTATTTTGTACAGAGTACCGCCGTGCCAGGGCGCCGGCAAAACAGCCATGCCGGTGAAAACAGCCACACTGGCCAAACGGCCCCACCGGCCAACACAGCTGTGCCAGCCAAACCAGCTGTGCTGGCGACCCATGGAGCTCCTCCACCTGGGAACTTCCTGGTCTGTGGGCAATAAAAATCCATCTGGAAATGTGGCATCCACTCACCCTCTGCGCTTTCACCAGGAGCTGCAATCCTGAGCTGCTCCCAATCAGCCATCTTGGATCCCTCCTCAATCTTTTCTATTTCTGTCATATCAGTTGTATTTTTTCCTTTTTAATATTTCATTTTATTTCGGTTCTCACTCTTTTTTTTCTTGGTTAGTCTAGCTAGCAACTTATTAATTTTTTTTTAAACCTTTCACTTTGTTTGTCCTTTGTGCTTTTTTTAGTCTGTATTTTATTTAGTTCTGTTCTGATATTTACTATTTCTTTTCTACTAATTTGGGGTTTGGATCATTCTTACTTTTCTATTTCTTTGAGTTGAAAGGATAGATTATTTGAAAACTTTCTATTTTTTGATGTAGGTGTTTATTGATACAACTATCCTCTGAGTACTCTTTTTTCTGTATCCCATAGGTGTTGATATGTTGTGATTCAAATTTTTTTCTTATGAAAAAGTTTTATTTCCTCCTTAATTTCTCTTTTGACCCAGTAATCATTAAGTACCACAATGTTTAATTTCCATGTATTCATATGGTTTTCAAACTTCCTCTTGCTAATTTCTAGTCTTATTCTATTGCTGTCTGATAATACACTTCATATAGTTTTGATTATTTTAAATTTGTTGAGACTTGTTTTGTGTCCTAACATATAGTCTATCCTATAGAATGTTCCATGTGCTGATAAGAAAAATGTATATTTTGTTGCTGTTGGGTAAAATGTTCTGTAAATGCCCATTAGTTCCATTTGATATAATGGGCAGTTTGAATCCAAAGTTTCTTTGTTAATTTTCTGTATAAAGCAACTGTCTAATGCTGAGAGTATGATGTTGAAGTTACCAATAATTACTGTATTGCAGTCTATGTCTCTCTTTAGAAATGTTATTCACTGCATATTTTGGGGTGCACTAATGTTTGGTGCATATATATTTAAAACTGTCTTGCTGAATAGATGATTTCTAAACTTTTAAATTTTAGTTTTTATGTGTACACATACATGTATATATTTATGAGATACATGAGTACATCAGGAAAAATAAGGTATCTATCACCACATAATTCATTGTTTGTGTTTTATGAACATTCCAATTGTACTTCTTCAGTTGTTCTAAAATACATAAGAAATTATTGCTGACTGTAGTCACCCTGTTGTGCTATTGAATACTAGAGCTTATTCATTGTATCTAACTATATTTTTGCACCTATTAAGCATCACCATTTTCCCACCTCCTCACTATGCTTTCCAGCCTCTAGTAACCATCATCCTACTCTCTATACTCATTAGTTCAATTTTTGAAATTTTCTGCTTCCACAATTGAGTGAGAACATGTGAAGTTTGTCTTTTGGTGCCCGGCTTATTTCACATAATAAAATGTCCTCCAGTTCCATCCATGTTGTTGAAAATGACAGGATCTCATTTTTTTTTATGGTTCAGTAGTACTCCATCATGTGTACATACTACATTTTCTTTATCCATTCAGTTGTTGATGGACACTTAGGTTGATTCCAAATCTTAACTTTTGTGCATAGTGCTGGCAATAAACATGGGGGTGCAGATATCTCTTTGATCTACTGATTTCCATTCTTTTGGGCATATACCCAGCAGTGGGATTATTATGTCATATGGTAGCTTTATTTTTAGTTTTTTTGAGGAACCTCCTTACTGTTCTCAATACTGGTTGTATTAATTTACTTTCACATCAAGAGTGTTTGAGGGTTCCCCTTTCTCCGCACCCTCATCAACATTCATTATTGCCTGTCTTTTGGATAAAGTTATTCCAAATAAAGTGAGATGATATATCATTATACTTTTGATTTGGATTTCTCTGGTGATCACTGACCTTGGGCACCTTTTCATATACCTGTTTGTCATTTGTATCTGAGAAATGTATGTTTAGATCTTTTGCCCATTTTTAAATTAGATTATTAGATTTTTCTCTATTGAGTTGTTTGAGCTTTGTTTTTTTTTTAACACGAAAAATTTTAACTATATTTTTGGTCCCATGAGTACTAAATGCATGATACTGGGTTAAGAAGTAATGGTTAAGGTAATACATAAGTATATATTCTGGTTATTAACACCTTGCCTGATGCATAGTGTGCAAATATTTTCTCCCATTTCATTGGTTGTCCCTTCACTTTGTTTATTATTTCTTTTGCTGTGAAGAATCTATTATGTGATTTTGATGTGATTTAATTTATCCATGTTACATTTGGTTGCCTGTGCTTTTGCGGCATTACTCAAGAAATCTTTGCCCACTACAATGGCCTGGAGACTTTCCCCAATGGTTTGTTTTAGTAGTTTCTTAGCTTGAGGTCTTAGATTTAAGTGTTCAGCCCATTTTGATTTGATTTTTGTATGTGGTGAGAGATAAGGGTCTAGTTTCATTCTTCCGCATATAAATATCCAGTTTTCTCAGAACCATTTATTAAAGAGACTGTTCTTTTCCCAATGAAGGTTCTTGTCACCTTTTCAGAAAATGATCTGACTGGAAATGCATGTATTTATTTCTGGGTTTCTGTTTTGTTCCATTGGTCTATGTATCTATTTTAATGCCAGTTCTGTGCTATTTTGCTTACTGTAGCTCTGTAGTATAATTTGAAGTCTGGTACTGTGATTCCTCCAGTTTTGTTCTTTTTTCTCAGTATATCTTTGGCTATTCTTGGTCTTTTGTAGTTTCATATACATTTTAGGATTTTTTTTTCTATTTCTGTGATGAGTGTCATTAGTATTTTGATAGGGATTGCTTTGAATCTGTTGGTTGCTTCGGGTAGTAAGGACATTTTAATAATATTGATTTTTCCAATCCATGAACATGAAATATCTTTTCTTTTTTCCGTGTTGTCTTCACCTTCTTGCATCAATGTTTTATTATTTTCATTGTAGATATCTTCCACTTCTTGAGTTTGTTCCTATGTATTTTATTTTACTTGTGGCTATCATAAATGAAATTACTTGATTTCTTTTTCAGATTGTTTACAGTTAGCATGTAGAAATGCTACGGATTTTTGTATGTTGATTTTGTATCCTGCAAATAGTTTCTCCAGATTCCATATGCTACTAACTGTGGGTCTTTGATATATGGCTTTTATTGTGTGGCATGTATCTTCTATACCCAGGTTCTGAAGGTTTTTTTTTTTTTTCATGAAGCGTTGTTGAATTTTACCAAATGCTTTTTCAGCATTAATTAAAATGATCATATGGATTTTTTCTTTATTCTGATGATATGATGTATAACACTGATTGATTTACATATGTTGAATTCTTCTTACATACTTGGGATAAATCCCATATTGTCATGTTGAATGATATTGGTTTGCTAGTATTTAACTGCATACTAGCTGAATTTCTTGAATTTGGCTTCCTAGTATTTTGTTGAGTATTTTTGAATCAGTGTTCATCAGAGATATTGGCCTATGATTTTCTGTCTTAAATTTTTGTGTCTGCTTTTTTAATCAGGGCAATATTGGCCTTATAGTTTAAGTTTGAAAGTATTCTCCATATTTTTAATAATAGTTTGAGTAAGATTGTTATTAGATCTTATTTAAATGTTTGATAGACTTCAGCACTGAAAAAATCAGGTTTCAGGCTTTACTTTGCTGGGAGACTTTTTATTATGGCTTTGATTTTGTTGCTTGTTATTGGTCTATTCAGGTTTTGAATTTCTTCATGGTTCATTATTTGTATGTTTTATGTCTCTGGGAATCTATACATTTCTTACAGGTTTTTCTATTTTATTGATATATAGTTGCTTAAAGTAGTTTCCAATGATCCTCTGAATTTCTACCGTAT